TTGTGAAGTACTGTACTATGGATGTGTGTTCACTTTATTACAGTAGGTACCATATGAAAATACAATAATACTTTTTTTTTATTTCCCTTGTAGGCAGACGAGCATACGGCCCACCTGATGGTGGGTGGTTACCGTCGCCCAAGGACGTCAGCAAGCCAGGGGCAGAGCCAAGCCGCTGCCTACCTACCTAATACAATAAAAATCCTTTAAAGTTTCGAGATTTCCGAACTATTACGAAGAAATCCAATTGACATTAATTACAGTGTATTTACCGCCACCCACCTTGGATCGACAGTGACAGTCTAAGCCAATTGTAATCCGGCTGTCTCAATCTTCAAGCCGTGACTGCGACGCGGCTTGAAATAGACAAGACTATTACACCTACCTACCCTTTTTTTTTAACGCTGGGGAATCCGTTTACGGATATTATGTCCAACCCTCGATATGATGTCCTTAATATTTAAATTACAAATGAAAAATATGATTTAAAACTAATCACGGCCTGGTCAAGGTATTTAGCCTAGTAACTACATACTAAGAGGTCTTTCAATTCTAACAATGCGTGCAATCAATATAATTGAAGAATCCGTAACTCTTTATTTTTCAGACTGAATGTATTGCTGATTATATGTAACTACGAAATCTTCGATACTTAATTAATTAAGCCATCGATTATTTAAAACTTAATTAGAAAATCGAAAAAACAAAACCGAATATCACTTTCGGATATATACGTATATTTATTATCGGATATTCTGAGATATTCGATATTCAAACACTAGTATACTCTCTTATCTACAAATATCATTTTTTATTACGATCTGATGCCGATTATATAAAGAACAATCATGGTCCACAAGGAAAGACTGTCAACCGAATTAAAATACAAACGACGGAACCCTTGACCAAGAACACCCTAAACTTGTTGTCACCCTATAAATTGTTTACAAATCGAGTTCCTCTTGTGAAGGAAACTGCCAAAAGAAAACTCATGCCGGAGCCGCGCGTAGGGGAACTTTATGACAAATGAATAATGAACACTAAAGGGGAACGACATTTCAAACTATTTTCATCTTTTTGCTATTGTATTAGAGTATCAATTTGACTGTAATCAAGCCGATGGCGTGTTTGTTTCGTTTAAATTTCGTTCTAATAAAATGCTCTTAAACATATTTGGCTGAAATTTTAAATTAATAAGTTGGACTATGGACAATAATTAAAATTAATTTTAAAAACATCCACAATTCACTTTATACACTTATCGCATTCTCCGTTTAAAAAAGTCAAATCTAAAAAAAAAACATTACAGGCAAAAATAATGAAACTAACCAGCACAAAGTTTAAATTTAGAATTTCATTTTTATTCAAAGAAAACTCACTTTTTCCAAGACACGTGTCGCTCAAACTCAGACGTTCGTATTTCGAACCAGAACGTTACAACGTCCTAACACTGAATGTACCCAAACGCAACTGAACCTAACTGAAGTGTAGGAAAATAAAATCCCTTTTCACTACCAAATGAAGATTACACCTATAAATATACACTTTATTTCTAGAGCACTAGAGTCGATATTACAAAACACATAAAAACTGTAAATAATCATAACGTTCCGTAGAGAAATATAGCCGTCGCTGTCATTCACCGCTTAATATTCGAGGAACGACAAAGACAGGATTAACGATGCGCATGTGCGTTGTTCCCCCTGGATAACAGTGGATATAACCTCAAAACGCTTGAAAGAAGTTTTTATGGGCATCGTTTATTATTATCGACAAGTTCTACGCTATTGAAGACTGTGAATTTTATGAGCCAGTTTATGACGTGATCCGAAGGGTCTTGGAAACTCTTACTAATAATTTATGAATGGACTCTCCCTATAAGAATTAATGTGTCTATTTCTTTGTATCAACTTTGGGATATTATTTTGACTTCAATATATAGGCTGAATAGGAACATCGGTAAATAGGTTCGGGTCAGTTGTAATCCGATAAGACTAGAGCACAATGTAAATACCACCCGTCATGCGGGCGAAAATTCAATCTGCATTACAATATTTTTTTAATTAAGTATATTAATTTTACATTTTCGTAAGCGATCTATTCGAATTCATACCAAACTCTTGTAACATCCAAATAATCAATTATCGATTTTATTTTATTGTATTTCGTGTCCGGCATATTGAAAAACGAGACGCCAGGTAAATCAGAATGATTCGTAGCCGATTACTAACTGACCCAGTCCAGGGAGCTAAATAATCCTGCATAGCTTAATAACCCAAAACTAAAGATGAACCCTTTGGATTAAAATCACAAATGCTGGCAATGAATCGCAATGAATAAAGATTTATTTATTTATTTTTTATTGCTTAAATGGTTGGACACGCGCACGGCCCACCTGATGTTTAGTGGTTACCGGAGCCCATAGACATCTACAACGTAAATGCGGTCATCCTCCTTGAGACATAAGTTCTAAGGTCTCACTTATCACCAGTAAAGAGAGAGAGAATATTAGAGAGTGATCGAAGGTGTGTCCCATCAACGCCAATGCGAGAACTCTGAGTCAAATTAACTTTATTTGCTGTCAAAAATGGAGCGCTTATGAAAAAATTAAGCATCTTTGAAAGTGACACCGCAAATTTTCTGAGTAGTTATGACATTTTTAACAATTTTAGAAAATTTTATTTTATTACTATTATAATAAAAATAACCTAGAATTTAATAAATAGTATAGTAGCACAAGGCACTATAATTTTAGGTGGGTGTAATAAAATCACATTTATTAAAGCGTGGCCACCCTGTTAGAACGAGATGCAATACTTAAAAAAGTGCAACTTGCAGTCGAGGTATACATATATGGTAACATATGATGGCTTCCTCAGATTTTACATATTTCTCGAAAAACGATTTCTAATTATTTCAAAAATGAAATTCCATTTATAAAGAATTCGTAGGCACGTTCTAGTTTCACAATGACTTGAAATGACAGTACTGGATTTGTTTTTTTGGTTACGTTTGGACATAATTATTTTTGTTTAGTCCGCGACGCGAGTGAGTTCAATGCACTCTCGTTATTTTTATTACTTCACTATTTCAAACATTCAGAAACTGTCGTAGTCGAAGTTTGAAAATAGAATGAAAAGTTTTTCTATCTACGATCACGATTCTCATGATTTGCCGCCTTTTTTATTACAGATTTTTTTATTACAGAACTCATTTTCTTTTCTCCTGAGACTTTTCGACTTTGCCACAAACTTCGTAATGAGTTAAAGACGTGAGACACCTCGAATAGAGCTCTGAATTGATGACAATGGTACTTAATGAGTAATAGGAACAATAACAATTTAATATTTTATTTATTTTAAACGCTTTTCCATCGCGTGTGTCGGATGCAAAGTCGCATGACGCATTTAACTTTTCGCAAAACACAAACACCTTGCAGAGAGTTTATATTTAGTAGAATCATTATTGAGTAGTATTATTCCATTAGTAATAGTTTTCCATCATGTAGTAGGACCATTTCAGCTCTAAAATGATCCTACACTAGTATCTATAGTTTGTTGGACTATTAAATAAAATACACGGGTGGGCGCCTCCGATTACCACCAGCTTCTGTAACTACATATCGTCATCTCACCCATGTTGCTTTGTAGTATCGGCCTAAAATAGTATCACCCAATCTGTTACCGCGGGAATTGTAAGGTGACTTACAAAATCCACCAGAGAATGAAGGGAACCTCCTCTGTATAATATAACAGCGTATTGGAATCGCCAATGAGTGTTTATTTGTGATACAGCCTTCCAAACTGCTTCACGGCTGTTAAGACGACCTATTACTAACAATATACGCCCTATCACCAGTTATACCGCGAAGTAAACTTTCAAATGATATTGGTTTTTTTTTCCTACCTAAGCTTATGATGTAACCTTAACTAGTAGGTGAGCTCACGGGGCTCAAACCTGATGACGTTGCTAACACGAACCCTATAGCAAGAGCCGTGCTTCGCAGAATCTACCACCGGATTGGAAACGCGACCCACTGAGAAGATCCGGCGAGAAACTCAGTGGGCTGTGTCTATGGGTTAATTCGCTCGTCGAGCCCTTCGTCGCAAGCGACGAGTTCGACGAGGACGGTGAGTGACTGGTGCTTGTGGTACCTCAAAGCACTGTTAATGGATCGGGAGGATCCGTAATGACGTGCGTCTTCCAACAGAAACGCATTACTGTTTCATGGCTGATAAGACACACATAGTAAGACGACCTATTACTAAAAATACACGCCCTATCACCAATTATATCGCTTAAATCAATTATATCAATTAAACTTTCAAATGACATTGGAAGGATGCCATGGCGCTTCGAGGGCACGAAAGGAGGAAGTACATACCATAAATTGATGAAATGCATTAAAAATTATCTCGACTCTGGTGGCCGACACACGAGAGATTTTCGAACTTACTCCCTTGTGTTTGAGTGTAAATAAAAAATAGCTTACTTGTTGGCGGCAAACATAAACATATTGTGAACAAAACAATAATTCTAGCACACGACAAAATAACAGTCTTAAACGCCCACTTCACACTTATACGGAAACAAACAGACGAATTCGTTCAATTAAATACATTAGCTAGTTAACATTTTAAATTAGTTTTCACAATAGGGAAATATGTTAAAAGTTTAATAAATAACCTTTCGACAATCGGTCCGCTTTTTTTAAATTTATGGTTCTCACTTTGGTTTTAATGTAAGAAATCCATAATTGACAAAATTTAATCCCTGACCATTCTTGACACTTTTATATGAGTACCTACATACACATTTCCGTTTATAGATAGCCACACAAATTTAAATATTTTCCGTTAAATGACAAGGTACGACTTTTTCGTAATATAAATTTCTACTTTTAAAACCATAGACATAAATATAGAGTTCAAATTATTTTCTATAAGATTTGAATGCATTCCAAAAAAGAAATAATTTATAGAATTTTTATGTAGGCTTACCAATGCAGAGAGGCACGGTGTCATTCCATCTGTTATCGTCATAGCACCAAAGTAATCGCGCCCTCTGTTGAGTGTCGACGAAAACAAAGTTAACGTTGCACATGTAGTGTGCCACGTCTTCGTTGCGATACACAAGATACCCCCTAGATGGCGCTGATAAAGTAACACAGCCAATGCCTGCAAGGAAATAAAAAAGGAATAATCCGTGAAAGAGAAAAATAATTATGTATTTGATTTTGTAGCGAATAACGTAATTTTATGTAAAAAGCATTCAATATTAAAATCAAACTGTTGAACTAGTTCTAAATTTATTCACTAGATGGCAGTACTTGTAACAACGCAGTTTTACTAACTTTTATAATGCAACAGGACTCCTCGTTTCGGGTAAGCGCCTTTAGACCTTGCTTCCACGGCCACCTCCACAGTGTTGGTTGTGGAAGTGAGTTTGATCGGCATATCGGCTTGTTCGCACGAGTACAACAGGTTATCGCCATTCGAATCTTGGACCGAGACGAAATCCTTACACTCGTTTTCAAACGGACCTATACCTGTGGGAAGTATTACATTTTAGAACACCGATTCAACAGATATCTAAGCTTATTAACGCTAATGCAACTAACTAATTTTGCTTTAATAATACTATACAACTGGTGGTAGGACGTCTTATGAGTCCGCACGGGTAGGTACCACCACCCTGCCTATTGTTGCCGTAAAGTTGTAATGCCTTTCGGTTTGAAGGGTGGCGCAGCCGTTGTTACACTAAAAAGCTAAGACTTAAAATCCATGTCTCTAGATGGGTGGCATTGACGTGGTTGATGTCTATGGGCTCCGGTAACCACTCAACACCAAATTGGTCGTGAGCTCATCCACCCATCTAATCAATAAACAAAAAACATTTTAAAATAACTTTAATTAATTTTATCTAATAAAATAATTTGATATATCGCACATACGGTGCTATAAAGTCACATAAGCAAGTTGTTAACAGTGAACTGAGTATGAGAAAATACATTTTTTAGTAGTTAGCCGTCGTGGCCTAAAGGATAAGACGTCATGTGCATTCATATGTAGCGATGCACTGATGTTCGAATTACCAATTTTTCTAATGAAATACGTACTTAACAATTGTTCACGATTGACTTCCACGGTGGAGGAATAACATCGTGTAATAAAAATCAAACCCGCAAAATTATACTTTGCGTATAATTACTGGTGGTAGGACCTCTTGTGAGTCCGCGCGGGTAGTTACCACGGAAGGGTGGGGCAGCCGTTGTAACTATACTGAGACCTTAGAACTTATATCTCAAGGTGGGTAGCGCATTTACGTTGTAGATGTCTATGGGCTCCAGTAACCACTTAATATCAGGTGGGGTGTGAGCTCGTCCACCCATCTAAGCAATAAAAATAAATAAATAAAAGTTATTAGTGAGACGATAGAGATGTTTGCTTTTACTGATGAAGTTTATTCTTCATTTTATTTCTACAGCCTAGCAGAACTATATAAGAATTATATAATAAGATGTTGAATTTTTCAACGTTTCTCCTGAAAAATTACATAATTTGCATAAGTGGGGTTATCGCACCGTATGTGCGTTAAGTATTATACTTACTTCTTAAGCTAACGTCCAAGAATGTGACCCGTATCCTTTGCTCGGGGTTGGCAATGAGCCGCCAGCGGCATTCATCGCCAACGTAGAAGTGCGGGTACCCTGGGGTTCGAATGTAACCCTCGCTCTCGGCTCCCCATTCAGCTATCCTCAACTCGCGGTTGCAGTAATGCAGAGATATTGTATCTGCAAAATTTTAATATTGTACATTTTATTTATAATATTTTTTCTATATTTATTCGTAGTATTTTCTACATTTTTTACGAGTCATAGACGAAATTAAAATTATTTCTACAGTTTATTCTCGCTTTTTTTGCAAATTATACATTTTAATTCGGACGCTCTGAAAAATTTACACTTTTCGTGAACGGGGACGACTTGTTGTTATTAATTAATTATAAACAATGCGTCTACAAGTGTTTAGATTTTTTAAATGTAGACATGTATTTAGCATTATTGTTTGTATGTTGTTTGTAGACAAACGAAGCGAATATGGGCAATGGTCGTAATCTTTTCTTACTATAACTAAATTAATTATAAAACCAGCCATAACAGTGACCGTATAGTATAAACAGATTTGATCTATTTTGGAAATTAATCCAGTATTTATATATATTGAATATTTAATCTACTTACATAAGTAAATAGACCTAACCTAAAATAAATATTACTAAGGAAATTATTCGAAATAACAATACGTATATTCGAAACAGCTTGAACATAAAGCTAATCTACAATAGTAATTACAGCTGCTACAATATTTGTAAATACATTCTCCTTTGTAGTCGAGAATGGTCTGTGAATATTTTAGATTAGGGTATTAAAAGGAATCCAAGCCTTCGTTTGGGACGTACGAGCTTGTATCTAAAAATACATAATAAACATTAAACGTTGCAAGAAATAGTATTTTGAGTATTTAAATGTTTATCGCAATTTATTACGCAACTTAGAAGGTTTGTCTGCATAGAATTTTCCTTCATATAACAAGGATTCTACATAACAAAAATCTTGTAATCATAACTTAAAATATTAGCTAAAAATAATAGGCTCCGTGACCTAACACCGGATGGAGCTTGAATACATGTTTGCTACTGCCTGATAGATAGTTAGAAGATATTTCAATTAGTTTATTATGTGAATGTCCACTTCGATAAAGCGGCACGACACGAGAACCCTCTCATCGTGGCCGCCGGTAACTACATTCCCTGCGGACAGAATGGAAAGCAGTCGACGTCGCCCAAAACACGTCATTTCGGATCCTCCCGATCCACTAACGGTGCTTTTAGGTACTTCAAGCACCGGTCACCGTTCTCGTCGAACCCGTCGCTTGCGACGAAGGGCTCGACGAGTAAACTAACTCTCAGACACAGCCCACTGAGTTTCTCGCCGGATCTTCTCAGTGGGTCGCGTTTCCGATCCGGTGGTAGATTCTGCGAAGCACGGCTCTTGCTAGGGTTCGTGTTAGCAACATCGTCAGGTTTGAGCCCCGTGAGCTCACCTACTAAAGTTAGGGTTACGCTGACATAGCCGCTAGGGCTATCAGCTTAGGTAGGAAAAAAAAAAAAAAAAAGTGAATGTCCTCTTCAAACGTTTCAGTGATATATGGCAGGGTTTCGTATTATTGTAACAGTTTCTCCATCCAAACGTTGACGGAAGAGAAAGCCTTTAGAAATAAATCTGATATCTGTAGTTTAGTTTTATGTTTAATTTTTCGAATTCGTTTTTTTTTTCAATTCAATACTCAGTCAGGCTTACAGTTTGCACCAAATCGCCTAACTCGTTAACACAAATAACATTACTAAAATTATCAAATATTATTATTATGCTAAAAATAACATTATTTTAGACAAAAGTATTCTCCAACTATCGACAAATTATATTGAAAATATTTTATAGATAGATTAGATTATATTGAAATCAAATCAAATGAAATAAAAAAAAAATTATTCAACATGAAAGTACCTACTTGTGGAACGTCAAAAGAACTACCGCCACTATTAAATATTTTCAATATTTTCTGTACATTGTCTTTATTTTGGTATGACCTAGAGGAAATATATGTTTTTAGAAGAAGAAAAACGCAGACTGAAGTTGGCACGCTATTCAAATGTCACCGGATAAAGACCCAGTCATACGTGACCACTAAAACTGTAAAGAATTCGGAACGTCGAAAATAAAACAATGACAATAAAAAATGCTAGATTTAATCGTCAAAGCAGTCTTAATTGTGTCTACTAGTAGTGAGAATCGATGAAAATACAGTCAAAACCGTTTACTGCGACATCGTTTAATACAACATGCCGATTATAATAACCAAGAATGCCATATGACCGCCTTATTAAAAATATTGCTTTCTACGACATTGGTAATAACGACATACCTCATAAAACGACCACATTTAACTAATATTTCGGAGAATTAGATCTGTTAGAACGACCGGCTAAGCTGTATTGTAAACAATTTGAATAGGTATCCACATTTGTCTTCAATGGCTTTTAAAATCAGGAAAGAAAACAATAGGATTTAGTTTAGTGTAGGGTCTTTTCTAATTCTTAGAAACAAAACACGTGCATGCGGTAGTCAAAGCCCGCTTCTTCATATCTCTTCAGTTAGTTTGTTACTTATCTATACACAAGACGCACCAAAACTTTGTGGAGTTATTCGTGAAACTTTCAAAATCTCGCAAAGAAAAAGAAAACAAATTAATATTGAAGAAAAATCGCGTATTATGTAAATATATTTTTCCAATAATTCCCTATCGATTTGTTTGTACTTGCACGATACACATTAAACATCACCGGTTGTTACGACTATCGGTTTTTACGACTGAATATGAGCAGTCCCTTCGATGTCGTTATAACAGATTTTGACTGTATGTACTATAAGAGAAGTTTTTTTGTTTTTTTTGTCCTTGTTCTTGTTGACAGTAGAGCATACGACCCACCTGATGGTGAGTTATTACCGTTGCCCATGGACGTCAGCAATGCCAGGGGCAAAGCTAAATCGCGGCATACCGTAAGCTTTCAACTACATCGAGTGTAAGCTAGAAAACAGTTTCGGCTCAATCACACTTTTCCCTCAAAATCATTTGATTTAATCGAAAGCTAAATATTTCCATAAAAGAGCACATATGGCCTATATCGAAGGTCAAACTTCTATCTCCCATCAACGGCTTATCTTAATACGATCGGTTCACCATCCCTTGCCCAGTTTATTCCATCAGATTTATTTAATCCAAATTGGCATTCCGATTGTGGTTTTCAGATAAGGGACACGAACTGCGACGCGAAATAACACATTAGGGATTTTTATTTGTTGTAAAGTCTCTCGGATTGTCGACGCCAGATGTTGTAGAACCACCAATATTGAACGTCCGACACTAAAACCCTCTTCCCGATTTAACAACTTCAACCTATTCAGATTTGAGCTGCAGATCGACTGATTGATTGAGTATGGTACCTATGTCATTGTTTTTACCATCGCACTGCCCGCCACCGGAGTAGAGTTTATCCATACTACTTGGAACCACTGCGTTCATCCACAGTGCGTTTCCAGAGATCTTTTTTGCCACGTACCATCCGGCTTTGGAATGAGCTCCCCTCCACAATGTTTCCAGAGCGCTATGACATGTCCTTCTTCAAATGAGACTTGTGGAGGGTACTTAACGATAGGCAGCGGCTTGGCTCTGCCCCTGGCATTGCTGAAATCCATGGGCGACGGTAACCACTCACCAGCAGGTAGGCCGTATGCTCGTCTGCCTACAAGGACAATAAAAAAAATACACAAAAAAAATACAACCAACACGCAAGGGTCACTCATAATTTAGAGGAAATTATTAACCATCAAATGAACAAAAATTACGGAATTATATCAAATAGTCTGAATAAAAACTATATTTTTGTTGCAAATCAGGACGTAACTTAGATTAAAATCTGATTGGCTATTTGTTAGGAAATACGGGTTTGCAAAACCGGCCTTTTTGGGTGGATAGACGAACAAGCTAGTAGGGTATCTTTATAGTACGTGGGAGCTACGAAATGTATTTAAGATAAGAAAAATTAAAAAAATTAGTCCCTGCCTATGGGATTTCAAACAGGGGCATAGTCGCATCGATACAAGTACACCGGTACACCGGGCGTCTTATTTTTCAGGCCATCTCTTCGAACTCCACTTTCAAGTCTCAAGTACTGGTTGTTGGACGTGTTAAGCTCGCCGAGAACGGTCTTTCGATCCAGCCTATTTTTGCAGCGAATCGATCTGGTTTTCAACTATGACAAAATAGACGATGCTGTACGTAACGAATACTACGATCTTTGGTCTGAAGTTGTCCAGCAGTCACATTTTGATTGACGTTTCTCTGGAGAGCATCTATGTTAATAAAATAACCTTCGATTTGGTACATTTTTATTGCACTTACTATTAGGTAACTGTTAACTGGTAGTAGGACCTCTTGTGAGTCCGCACGGGAAGGTACCACCACCCTACCTATTTCTGCAGTGAAGCAGTAATGCGTATCAGTTTGAAGGGTGGGGCAGCCGTTGTAACTATACCTTAGAAATATTCGAGCTTCAGGAATATTTGACTTTGCGACTCTCTTATTGCTGGTAAGTAGCTTCGAAGGATTAAACTAGCTTCATCGAACATGACTTGATTGTATTTCTGTGTGTCATGTAGGCAGCTACTTGGCTCTGTCCCTGGCATTGTTGACGCCCATGGGCGACGGTAACCACTCACCTTCAAGTGGGCCATGTGCTCCTTTGTCTACAGTCTGATTGGCGGTAGTGTTTTGACCGTCGGTGGCGCATTTACGTTGTAGATGTCTCAGGGCTTCAGTTACCACTTAACACCAGGCGGGCTGTGAGCTCGTCCACCCATCTAAGTAATAAATAAAAAATGTAAGCCTTGAACTATACTCAATTCGAGCCATAACAAAAGACGAGTAATTACAAAGCGTGTTATCCGATTTCGTGATAAATTTCAGTGCTCCACTTCATAAATGAACTTCAAGAGCCTTGACCTCATTCGATGACGGAGCCGCCCACGTTTGCTCAACACAAACGATCCCTGACCGAAGGCCGGACTTGCCTATTCATGGCCTATTAGATGTCTGCCTGATTTATTAATACATAAACGAATTGTAATGACAACATGATTTATTTGCCACTTAGAGGCGCGAGATCCTAATCGTATAGTTTAGCGGCTGTCAAATCTAATTGACTAACCCAGCGGCTGTCAACTTAACTCAGTGACTGACATATACTAATATATAAATCTATAGTGGTTTTTACGGATGTTCCGTTATAACTACTGAACCATACATCTGATCGTCTTGAAACTTGGTAACCATGTAGAAAATACATGTAGTTAATGGATAGGCTAATATTTATATGAGTGTTGGACTCCCTAATAATAATGACAATAAATAATAATGTTAATTTTAAATGTCCAGCGAAGCGGGCGAGTACGGCTATACTCTAAAATTCTTGACACCCATACAGATTTAAATACGAAAGTAAATATTGAATTGAAACCTAGTTGTATAGTTGAAATGTGGTAAACATGTATTTCCCGCATATGTACCACAGAGCTGAGTCGTTCGGATTGCTATAGATCAAAATGTCGTATTTGTATGACATGACATCCCCATGACACACCTGACAGGGGCTTGCGACATGCAAATTTGTCGCGACACGATGGTTGAGAACCTCTGGATTAACTAGATCAGTGTAAATGTATAAAAATTACGTCAAATGTGTTCCAATAGGCCGACCATTGAGATATGTTGAGTTCATCGAACATACAAATGTTTTATTGTAACTGAAAACGCAGTCTTGGTTTTTTTTCTACCTAGACTCTGGAAACGTCGACTGGCTAGTCTATACTAATATATAAATATACAGTGGTTTTTACGGATGTTCCGTTATTACTACTGAACCATACATCTGATCGTCTTGAAACTTGGTAACCATGTAGAAAATACATGTACTTAATGGATAGGCTAATATTTATATGAGTGTTAGACTCCCTACACCAGTTGCGGGGGCGTTAATGATGGAAATCTTTGTGGGGGTGAGAAATAATAATGTTAATTTTAAATGCCCAGCGAAGCGGGCGGGTACAGCTAGTCCAGATACGTACGGTTTGGTTGGCGAGCTCATAGGGCTTAGCCTGATAGAGCTTGCTAACATATGTCCTAGCAAGCGCTTCGTTGAATCTACCACCAAATCGAAATCGCAACCCACTGAGAAGATGCGGCGATGGTAACCGGAACTCAACATTTACTAAAATACACGGATGACTGCTTATCAAACTGTAAATATAATCAATACAATTAAAACTATTTTTACGGTTTAATCTCCAGCTTGCACGGACTGTCATGACCACGAAAACTGATAAGTTATAATTTAATGACAATAATAATTAAACTGTCCATGTCAATCCAAACAAGAACAGTCGTGCCTTATGCATAAGGTCTAGAATCCAAAATTTAAAAGCGGGAACCATTACAAAGCAAACGAAAAGGCGTGACAACGCATCGATACGCATTTTACAATTCACAATTCCCAAAATTACCAGCCTTCTCCGACGCAGCTACTCACAAAGGAACGTAATATTTAAAATTCCTTAAAATCACGCACGTGTCGTCAATCTGTGTTGCCATACTCCATTAAATCCCTAGATTTATGTCTGAAATTTCACGTTCCGAGTAAAAGCGTCGATGACACAACAAAAACACCCATCGATACTTGATCCGTGACAGCCCTATTTTCATTGTGCTATCCATAGAACCGAGTTTGTGCGTAACTGATGAAATGTCATTTTATATTGGCTGTGTAACACAATAGTATTAAGCCACGTGTCATTCGCGGGGCAGTCGTTATTTGGGTGATATTTTGTTGATAAGCTTTTATTTACACTTATTGTTGGAAATTGAGGGTTCCTAATTTTACCATGGCAGGCTGCGTCCATAGCATTGTCGTTGTCTATGGGCGATAGTATCCATCACGTTGGCTGCAAGCCTATTTATTTACCAAAACACGCCCCCTGAGTTTCTTGCCGGATCTTCTCAGTGGAACGCGATTCCGATCCAGTAGTAGATTCTGCGAAGCACTGCTCTTGCTAGGGCTAGTAGCATATTCTCTCAGATTGAGCCCGTGAGCTCACCTACACGTCAGAACGTAGCTGTAATAGCCTCTTAGACTACCAGCGAATAGGTAGAAAAGAAAACCAAACATAAATGCAAATCATAAGGTATACCCGTACACTTTTGTATAGATAAGAATTAGCCAACACAACCTCTAATTTATTTAGTTATCGTTCGTTATAGAAAAAGTATTTTATATAAATATACAATTCAGTTGACAAAGATAGAAAGAGGTGAAATACAATCATATTATTTATCCATAGCACGCCGTGTATGACTAATCTCTATAATTTGATAAAAATGACAGTTTCGGCTCGCATCTGTGCAATGTCATCGAAATAACGTGCAGGGTTGGTTCCTTCATTATTAATTAAAGCAAACCGATAAAGCAAACAAAACGAACGAATTTTTAGTAGTTCTGCCTGCAACAAAATAAAAGCTAAATGACCAACGTCATAGCTCAAGGGAGGCACGGACAAGGCGAATAAACTATGAAAATACATCAATCTCGACATAGATGAGCTAGAGGAATTTAGACAAAGCGATGGGGAAGAATTAGATTCGTACATTTTTTTTTTCTTTTCCTTCCTATGAAATAGCCTTGAGAGGCTATTTCAGCTTCTCCTTAACGTGTAGGTGAGCTCAAGGGGCCTAAGCCGGGAGTGTTGCTAACACTGGCTCTAGCAAGAGCAGTGTTTCGCAGAATCTACCACCGGATCGGAAACGCGACCCACTGAGAAAATCCGGCGAGAAACTCAGTGGGCTGTGTCGATGGGCTAATTCACTCGTCGAACTCTTCGTCGCAAGCGACGGGCTCAACGAGGAGATTCGTACAGCCCAAAAGCATAGGAAGTAGAAATTGCTAGCATTATAATGTAATTTTAAACTATATAATAGTAATTGAAGTAGTTTTATCGATTGAAGAAACCTAAGTTCTGAAAATGCAGTGACTAGATTACGTGACGGATAAATTGGTAGCAACAACAAAAATTTATCAGTTAGATCTCAAAATGACAGTAGCCTCTTTTTTTAAGTGATATTATGACCTGGTAACTAAGACCTTTAGGTCAAGTTTTATTTTAGTTTTAAAGAAAACTTTTTTATATTAAAAATGATATTATACTGTTTATTTCTAATCTACCCGATCATTTTCAATGTTCAATATGTAGAAATGTACTTACCTTTTATTACCACGTGAAGGTGTGTTGTAGCCTTACCGTATAATTTATTTCGATTCGGAGCAAAATCGATAGAAATAAAGAAAATTTTACTCAAGTTAAAGCAACAGCTTAGATTAATAACAATAAATTATCAGTTTCAAAATCGAAATAATTGATTTACAATTAAATGACTTCAGATAATTATTTCTTACTTTAATCGTAATCATAACATCGGTTTGTTTATAAATTTTAATTTACAATACCTCTTAATACTATTAAAATGGGAAAATCCGACTCAACATTAATTAACTATCACTAACTAATATATTTTATTGTCACACAAATCAATTTGAAATGTCACGGCGACATTTGTTCAAAGCGGATGACTTCATTTATTTTAGATTAGGTTAATGAAGGCGTTATTATATTTTTTAAACGACTATAGCTAGACCGATCATCGAACTCACGGCCCACCTGGTGTTTATTGATTACTGGAACCTATAGGCACCACGGAGCGAGTATCTTCAACCGAAGCGAGACATCATCGGAGATCTATACTAATATTATAAAGAGGAAAGATTTGTTTGTTTGTTTGTTTGTTTCGAATAGGCTCCAAAACTACTGGACCGATTTGAAAAATTCTTTTTCCATTAGAAGCCGACATTGTCCCTGATGAACATAGGCTACTTTTTTTTCATTTTTTTAAATTTTTTTTTTTGGTTTCATGTATGTTTTATTGTTTCCGAAGCGAAGCGAGGGCGGGTCGCTAGTTGGATTATATTTTGTAACTGCTGTCCCACAATTGAGGCCGTCAGCGCAAAAGTTGCCTAACCTACAATTCATATTCGTGCTTATGTATTGCAATTTATTTAAAACATTATTGCAATTTTGATGCAAAATTGGCCTATCCCTAGTTTCAAACCATAGATAACAGACGACTTGGTAAACATCATTTTAGCGCGTTTTTTTTTTGCCTACGAAGTATTGTAAAGGTAAATTCAAACTTTATTATCTCCATACTAACTATGGTAAGCTTAGGCCACTTTTGCGCTGACGGCCTCAACTTAAACCCACGCGTGACTGCTTGGAGGCAGAAATAAGAAATAATATAGATAAACCTACCCCTTTCGAAATCATAAGAAACCCTACAACTTCTTCTTCTTGTTCTTTCAATCTGGCAATTGCCATTCCATTGTTGCCAGTTTCGAATTTATGAAAATTCTCAAATATTATATTTATCTATATAATAATTGTGTAATATTGTGTAAATAACATTGTGTAATAAAAATAAAGCCGCAAAATTATAATTTACTTAATGTAATGTCCAATTGTACATACTATACAATTGAAACATCAAGTATCAAGGCAAGTAGCATTCACGTTGTAGTTTTTATGGGCACCGATAACCACTTAAGACCAGATGAACTGTGAGCTCGTTAATCGGTCTACGCGATAAAAAAAATTACAATCACGTAAAATATTACCGTCAAAGACTTTAAATGTAATAAGTTGGATCTTATAATAAAATTTATATTCACCATCAAAACAAGCGTATTTGATGTAGACGACTCCTGGAGACCAGCTGCTGGACGGAGGATAATCCTCCGACAGCAAAAAGTTACAGTGATTGACGCCTGTGCACCTGGAATGAAAAGTCATTATTGAACATATGTTTTATATTAAATTATATTTATTACATATTATAGTGAGGGGTAGATCTCAGGGGTATTTTTATTCAATAAAACTATGGGTTAGTCACTAGTATCGAATTTCGATTATAATCTTGTCTTAAACACAAACAATTTTCGATTTAAAACGATAATAATAATAAGATTCGGGCGCACGCTACTCACATTCAGTGTATAATCTATGCTTCAAACGGAAGCGCCCGGAACATAGATTATCCAGTTCTTTGTCAAAAGACGGACATAGATACTAAAAACTTTTTATTTTCCTGCCTATACTGATAACCTTGAGAGGCTATTTCAGCTTCACCCTAACGTGTGTAGGTGAGCTCACGGGGCTCGAACCGGAGTATTGCTAACACTGACCCTAGCAAGAGTAATGCTTCGCAGAATCTACCACCGGATCGGAAACGCGACCCACTGAGAAGATACGGCGAGAAACTCGGTGGGCTGTGTCTATGGGTTAATTCGCTCGTCGAGCCCTTCGTCGCAAGCGACGGGTTCGACGAGGACGTTGACCGGTGCTTGTGGTGCCTAAAAGCACCGTTAATGGTCGACTGTTTACCATTCGGTCTACAGGATCGGGTATGTAGTTTCCAGCGGCCACGACAAGAGGGTTCTCATGTCGTGCCGCCTTCTCGAAATGGCGCAATGATGCCGACTGTAGATACTTACTGACAGATAAAAACTATGTATAGCGAGCGGGCATACGGCCGCGAGAGTGACGTACAGGTCGGTTTGCTATAATATATATTAATAATAATTAAAATTATTAATCATCAACAGGTCCAAGATCCCGCGGTATGTCCAAAAAACGCTGGTTTTGATGTGGTAAAGGCGATATGGAAGAGAACAACTTCTCCCAGAAGGATACCGAAAACCGGGACAAGTGGAGGAGTTTAAGTAGATAAGAGAACGCTGCCAATTTAAAAAAAACTGTAATAATAATAACTTAGAAAAAATCACGCAAAATCATCCTACTTAGACCGGGAAAATGCTAGAAAGAAGAAAAAGAAGTTTTTTTTTTTTTTATTGCTTAGTTGGGTGGACGAGCTCACAGCCCACCTGGTGTTAAGTGGATACTGGGGCCCATAGATATCTACAACGTAAATGCGCCACCCACCTTGAGATATAAGTTCTAAGATCTCAGTATAGTTACAACGGCTACCCCACCCTTCGAACCGAAACGCATTACTGCTTCATGGCGGAAATAGGCAGGGTGGTGGTACCTACCCGTGCGGACTCCCAAGAGGTTCTACCACCAGTGATTACGCAAATTATAATTTTTAAAATTATTGAACATCTTATTCCTTCAAGGAATCTTTTAGATTGGTTCGATTAGATCAATTTGTTTTTCATTGTATGACCCATATGCTTTATGTCAATAGTCTTATTTTATCCTCTGAAGGATAAAACGCCCAACTTACTTGTATCGAGCGATGCAACTATGCCGGTGTTTGAATTTCGCAGGCAGATACAACGTCAGAGCATCACTCGAATTACATCCGACGAAGGAATAAAATCATAAAAATCGAACATGTAAAATTAGTATGTTCCTATGCAGCAGTAAATACGTAAATTTCCTTCTGAATAGAAAGTCTCATCTTTCAGTTGAAAACGAACGTTTGGTATAGCCAAATTGTTATTGAGCTCATTTCGGCCTTATGACATTCAATAGTGAGTTACCGCTTCAAAGTCTAATATTGAATTTTAGAAAAGATTTAATTAAAAAACGCGCCTTGGTATGTTACGGGTGAAAGACTGCACCACGATCTTGCTATATGAAAAAATTAAAATAAAAAAGTCGATTGCGATAAAACCTACCGTAAGAGATCGGTATCCCACTCAATTAGCTTTACTGAGCATCTCTAATAGACTACAAACAAATGAGTACGAGAAGACTTAAAAGAAGTGAGCTGTGAGCATGTGGCACAAACTATAGTTTCAAAATACTGTTACGCCGGTAAGAGTAACGCCATCTATCGCCGAATATTTGAACGAATATCGAAGGATCTAGTAGCACCTAGAACGCTCGAGAAGTACAACGCCATCTATTGTCAGATAGCGGAAACACAATACTATAAATGTGTGGAATGTTCTCGATAAATCTAGGGATGTGGTATCGGCTATAAAAGCGTTGCAGAGATGGCACGCAGTCAGTCAGTAATCTGAACTACTCGAAGCGAAACAGCGAACGGATCACCTGAAGCGAAGCGGAAGAAGCGAATTGAGAGTTTTAAAGTGTTTGTGAAGTGTTTTAAGTGTTCTAAGTAATGAATACATTTTTAACTTGTTGTACTCCGGTAGAATTTTTATTTATCCCGAACCCCAGCGCGTAACAATATCATAGTTACCTCTTCTTTAACGATTGGATAATACAGTTTTATTGCGTATACTTTTAAATAGTAATACACTAAGCTCTGAACGTAAAAGCAAGTCATGGTACTCGAATCGTCCGCTCGGTGGTCGATGCAAGCGGTAATCGTCAGTTAAAAGTTACATTCAAACAAATTACATACCACATAAAAGATAGCATCGCTTAATTTCCACCTTCGCCCTTAGACCGATGCTAACGTTGTTGTGTGGCCACGAAACTAACGAGAATGGGGTATATTTATTTCATACATATTCTGAATAGATTTTTCCTAATTTATTGAAGAAATTCCTTAATCAACCGAGCCCTGTGCAAAAGTCACTAATTGGTTGCGCTAGTTTACAACTGTTAGTTTTTGGCTTCGGAAGATAGCAACGTTAATTTGGTTTTTGCAAATCCTGTCCCATCCCTCTCCCGCACTTTACCTACCGACGTGTGCGAGCGAGATCGTGTGACGACATCGACTCGAGAAGAAAATGTAATGGCTGAACAACCGCGCGCGCGTTTTGTGTCTCTGTTGAATTTGTACGAAATTGTTGGTGTTTCTCATCGCCTATCGGTACGAGCCTGCAGTAAGGACTACATAAACGTATTGTGCATCCTTCCTTTACCGCAGAACCGCCGCTTCTTATCGTTTCTGTCCGCAGTCTGTGTCCTACAATTTGCAACGGCCAAATTTCGAAAAATTTCAAATATTTCGTAGCTATTGCTTATTTCGCGTCTTCACTAATAAACAAAACAACACTTCCTTAGTTGAGTGAGCCAGTTCAATTTTATGTGCACAATTACAGAGCTTATTTTTTATTTATTTTATTGCTAAGATGTGTGGACGAGCCCTCTACCTGGTGTTAAATGGCCACCTGAACTTATCAACGGTCCATGTCCCCGCCCATCTTGAGATATGAGTTCTAAGTCTCAATTGTTTACGGCTACCCCACTCTTCAAACCGAAGCGCATTACTGCCTTACGACGGAAATAGGTAGAGTGGCAATAGTCATCCGTGCGGGCTCACATCACGCTCTACCACCAGTTATTATGCAAAAGTGTAATTTTGCGGGTATGGTTTTTATTGCACGATGTTATTCCTTGACCGTGGAAGTCAATCGTGAATATGTTATTTTTAACGAAAATTCCCACCAATATAAAGAAAACATAGTTTTGAATTGCGGAATACTACAATTTCCCAAGATCCCTAAAGACTACATAGCATTAGATAAGCCGAACGACCAGTCTGCGCCAATAATAAAAACTTTGAAGTTAACATTAAAAATACCTGTCCTGTCCTGTCCTGTAAAGGGAACCTACGCTTCGCTGCAAACATATCGGGATTAGTGGCCGCACAATATATTGCACGAGCCACATTGCGTCCATCATTCCAAATAAGGAAATGACTTTTTTGAACGGCTTCTAAGTGTTTTTGATTAATGATCAAGTGCGGTTTGGCTTTTGATATATCAGTACATCAATCTTAGGGATGGCTGACTTTGATCCGTGAAGTACTTTTTTTTTCTTGTTCTAATTACACAAACAAATGCTTTAGCGTTACCGGCCATGTGCACTGGCTGTGTCTTACACATAAATAATAGTGTCCTAAGTACTGTCCCAAATTAATTCCAATGAAATTTAAACGTAAAAATTAAAAAATCCTAATCTTATCTACCCGAAATATTTATGTGATCGCTTTACCTATTTATGCCCGTCCCTCCCTTGCTCCTTGTAAACACATTAAAACTTTCCTCAAATGCCCTGTTCATAAAACACATGCTTACGCAAAATCATTTTCTGTACAAGCAGTTATACTTTGGAATTCCCTCCCTCCAAGCATACGAGCGTGCAAAACCATAGCAGCGTTCAAGAAGTCTGTCAAAGAACACTATTTATCCTTACTATATTAAATAAAGTATATATATTTCTATAATTTATTATAATATAAAGTAAGTATATGTATGTGTATACGATTGTTTTGTATCTTATAATATGTTTATATTATTATATGTAATGTTTACTGTATGCACTAGGTTTGTGTTCCTAATTCTTCTTTCCATCTGCGGGCCTACTGGAAGAGATTTCAACATGAAATAAGTAGTGCCCTTGTACTCTGTATCCTTATTGTCGTGTTTCTTCTAACATCTGTGTGTACAAAATATATTAAATAAATAAAATAAATAAATAAACTTTAATGTATACAAACCCAAACTTTCTTATGTCATCGATACAGAAACAGCACAACACTATCCGATATCTTCATATAATACGACCGAGATATACGATTTTGTACTTATTGTAGTTATTAACCTATGCTAATAATTTACTATACAAACATTTTCGATAACATCTGCCCACCCTCGTGCGACTCGCACAGGCGATGACAGCAGCACCTGGCTTCGATCATTCGGAAATTCAAAGTCGATCACACACTCGATCGATTATGCAAATCGTAATAACTTCGTAAGCATTGAGCTCCGCGCCCTATATTGCACTTTATACAGTAACTAGCGGCCCGCTCCGGCTTCGCTCGGGTCCTTAACAAAAATTTCAAAATAAAAAATTATAATACACACACATTAATCCTTATATTTGCGT